TATATTTGGGTATAAGTAGAAATCTTAAAACATGACAACAATTTTCATAAGTCATTTGAATAATTTTTATGGCTGGAAAAATAGACATTTAGATGAGCTGATATTTTGCTGTTAATCCTCACTCAAGGATACTTTTTTCATTGATTTTTAGAGAGAGTGGAAGGGAGGGGGGAGAGACAGAGAGAAACATCTCTGTGAGAGAGAAATATCAATTAGTTGCTTCCGGCATGCACCTGAGGCCAGGGGTTGAGCCTGCAACCAAAGTACATGCCTTTGACTGGAATTGAACCTCCAACCCTCAATCTACGGGCTGATGCTCTAACCATTGAGCCAAATCAACCAGGCCTACTTGAGCTGATTTTTAAAAATTTTGTTAAAATATTTCCTAAAATAGATTCATGTGAGCAAATTTCTATTATCTAAAACACTAATATTATTTTAGTTCAGACACTTCTTCATTTAGAGCTATTTTTACTGTTTAACATTTATTGAGTTTTAATGCTATTCAGAATGGTAATTGTTTACATGCATTACCTCAAGTAATCTTTAACAGTCTTGTAAGGAAGATATTATTATTCCCATTCTACCAATGAAGAAACTAAGCTTATTTAGATTAAGTAACCTAGTCAGTGTTTCAACCAGAACTAATACCTATGTGTACCTTCAAGTTTGGCTGTTACATAGTGTTAGGCTGGTACAACCAGAAGCGAGGTGAGAATCTTGCCATACATTATAAATCAAATAATAAATTAATAACTTATAAGCAAAAGTTTTAACTATTCCTTTAGAAATAACTCAAGTGCAAAAGACCTACTCATATCTATTAATAATTATAATCTTAATTAGAGGCCCAGTGCATGGGAGGGGAAAGGGGAAGCTCCCTCAGCCCGGCCTGCACCCTCTCATAATCCGGAACCCCTTGGGGATGTCTGACTGCCGGTTAAGGCCTGCCTGTGGGATCGTCCCTAACCCCTCTGCCTGCCTGCCCCTGCCTAACTGCCTCTGCCTTGGCCCCTGCTGCTGCAGCTTCATCCCAAAGGACGTCCAGAATAATGTCCGGAATGACATCTGGAAGGTCGTTTGGCTGGCTGTCTGGTCTAATTAGCAGATTATGCTTTTATTATTATAGATCATACAAATCTGTTTGGATGAAGAATGCCATGGAGTATATAATTTTTGTACGATTTTATAGTTATGTTTTTATTTTATTTTTATTATAGTAGTACATATATCTCCTTTTTGTTTTTATTTTCTTATGTTGCTAATTAAATTTTACTTTGTAAAATGCACAAACCCTGGGAAACATTTATATTTAATTTTACCTTTCATATATTTCCTTACCCATTAGGAGCAGTGGTAAAAACTTCACACTACACAAAATGGTTCTAGTTAGTGTAAGTTTTTCTCACATGAGAACTATACACTATATTTAAAATTAAGGATTTTTATAAGAATATCTTATAGTTTTACTGATCATATATATATTTCTGTACACTGTAAGAAACTTATTGTTGATCTGTACCTTTAGAAACAAGGTCATAAAACTCAACTTATAAAAAGTTTCTTTCATTGATTCTAATAACAGACAATCCATGAAATAACCATCCCTGATTTTTTATCATATTAATAACAACATTTAAGGTAGAATCCTGAAAGGCTAAAGCAGGACTCAAATGAAGTAGCTATATTCAATTACTAAATCTGTCCAGTGTTCATATCAAATGTTTTAAGAGCAGGATGGAAGATAAAGGATAGATTTAAAAGACCAAAGATTAAGTTTATACAGTCAAGTTACTTCAGACTTGGAACTATCAGTCACCAATACACAGATTTGATTTTCAGCTTACCATATATCTGACCTGCTTTTGGATACTGAAAATAATATTGAGAAGATCACTCATTAATTCAATGGATTTATACCAAACAACTATTAGGAAGAACTATAGTAAATTCTAAGTGTATATATATATGAAGGGTGGAAAGGGTTGTTACAGCAAATCCTATTTAAAGAAAGGAAGATAAGATATATAAAAATGAGGCACATCAGATAAACTGTAAGGAGTATGACAAAATAGGTTCATATATAATATTAATAGGAATTCAGAGATATTAGCAATCTTGGGCTGTGGGACACAAAGAATCTTAGGCTGTGGAATCAAAGATGGCATTGAGGTGTTTCAAACCATGTAATTTAGAAGATAGAGTGCCCCTTAAAAAAGGATGAAAAAAGTGATTGCAAAAGAAGACAATATGTTCAGTAGTAAACATATTTAATTTAATATGTAAGTAGAGATGTCTAGCAGGCCAATGAGGATAGGAATTCATTGATGAAGTAAATCCTGGAAATAAAAGATTTGAGATATAAAGGCATATATTAGGTACTCTGAGAGCAGAGTAGCATTGAATCAGAGAGCATCAAGAAAAGCTTTTGATAGTAAGTGGTGCTTGACTTTAACTTTAGTTTTGAAAAGAAGGGCAAACACATCAGGAGAAACAGTAGTAGAAAAAGTATGGGTAAACATAAAGAAGCATAAAACATGTGTGGTATGACTAAAGAAAAGGATGTGTATGTGGGAAGAGTAAGATAGTAAGCAATTAAAATAAGTAGGGACCAGATTATAAAGGATTCAATGCCCTAAGCCTTAGGATTTAAACTTAAATTTAAAAGTTGCAAGGTATTATGAAAAGATTTTCAAATAGGAGCAATATAGTCTGATTTAATTTTTAGGAGATAATTTCATCTCATAAGGAAGTGAGACTGGAGAGAAGGGGTCATACAGGAGGCAGGGTAACCAGTCTGGAGGCCACAGCAATAACCTAATAAGTAAAAAGTGATGGAGGTTGAATGAGAGCTGTGGCAAAGAAAAGAAAGAGAAGCTAAAGAAAGCTGAATGTTTCAGGGCTTGATAACTCCATAGATATGAGGAGAAAGGGAGAAATTGGAGTCTGGAACAACTTTTAAGTTTCAGTCTGGGTAGATGATAATGGTGCCATTCCTATAGTTGTAAAATCCAGAGAATTAAATCTGAGTTGAAAGAGGGGGTGTCTGAAGCATCTGAGGTACCCATCCTTTAATAAAGAGGGAATATGCAAATTGACCATCACTCTGCCACAAAGATGGCTGCGCCTATAGCAGGGGTGGGGTTTCCTTAACATAAGATGGCTGCACCCACAGCAGAGGCTGAGTTCCGGTTATGAACCTTAACGAGCAATCAGCAGGGGACCTGAGGCTGCGCCTTCCACCCCCCGCCCAGCGGGGCTTGATGGGGGACCTCAGGACATGCTCCCCTTCCCGGAAGGGCTTGACGGGAGACCTCAGGCCACACCGCCCATCCTGGCACCAGGTCAGAGGACCTGAGGCTGGACCCCCCCATGGTGGGGCTTGACAAAGGTGAGACTGGCCAGGTCTGGATCTAGCCCAATTTGGGGAAAAGGGGAAGGGACCAGCCAAGTCTGGGTCTCGTGCAATTTTAAAGCCTACGTGGATGGGTGGGGACTTGACTGTGGGTCCTTTGGTGTGTCCCAGACTCTGACAGGAGAAAGGTTTTAATATACATTTTACAAATTTTCTTTCATCTCTGACATTTCTATTATAGAAAAAGGGCAAATAGCAATATTAAAATATTTCTTCTAATTAATCCTCTTTTAATTTGCATGAATTTCATGCACCAGGACAATTACTAGTTTAGTTATTGACATTTAAGTGAGTATATTCAGTATATTGGGTTTAGTAGGCCGTAGGGATACAATATCTGAGCAGTGCCAATCGTGAAGAAGATGGATATGAAATGATACTATCAAAGGAGAATGTACAGAGTGAGAACAGCAGGTGAGAGAGGCTGGAAAGGAGCCTATGTAGGAAGCAGAGAGCCAAGAATAAAGAAAACCAAGAGAGGCTGTTGTTACAGAATTGAAGGGAGGAAAATGATTCAAGAAGGAGGGTATTTTCATTAATTTATGTATTGTTTATGGCTATTTTTGTGATATGATGGTATTGTTGAGTAGTTGCAACAGAGATCATACGGTCCACAAAGCCAAATATTTGTTATCTGGCCCTTTAGAAAAAAAATTTGCCAACCTCTGCTCTACAGAGAAATAGGGGTGTGTTATTATCTAGGTTTCAGTTATATCTCTACTTTTAGAAGAAAGAGAAGATAACATTCTTGGAAGAAGATAAAGATGGAGATTTTTAAAAAATTTATTGATTTTTAAATTTGACTTGTTATTGAGAGAGAAAGGGAGAGGGAGAGAAAGAAATATCATTGATAAGAGATAATCACTGATCAGCTGCCTCCTGCACGCCTTCTATGGGGATTAAGCCCGCAACCCGGGCATGTACCCTAACTGGGAATTGAATCCTGACCTTTTCAGTGGAAAGAATGTATAGGGAACCAGTTCCTAATCACTCTGCAGCTGGTTTTTAAGATTGTGGAACATTCAATTCTACTTTTGGTGCTTCTAATATTACAGAAGATAGTAAATTTATTATTTAATAACAAGCTAGTAAGAGATGAAGAACAAGACTCGTAAGTGGTAACAATGTGAAGAAGGAATAACTGTTACTAGTTTAGTTATTGACATTTTCCAGAAATGTTTGACAGCCTTAGAACAGGAAAGTAGAACAATAGAACAATATGTGTCAGTTTATAAGAAGATTCAAGATTGGGGTACGAGGCAGCTAGAAGGACAGGAGGGCTAGGATATGCAGAGGACTCGGTAAAAAACTGACTAACTTATAACTGGTATGGATTACAAATGGTAAAAATTTTAGGATAATTTCAATGTAGCTGTGCAGCTCTTAAAAAATAAGTATGATCATGTGAAGAAATTAAACCAATTGCTTAGTTTTAAATGTGAGTCTGCTATTTCATTTACCAAGAAGTTACAATTGACTAATACTTTTTAATCAGCAGAAAGACAGTAGATAATTTACTTGCTAAAGGTTTTTCTAAAAAGGATTTGCAAGTCAATGTTTTTATAAACTGTTACTATATACTTACCCGCTTTATTACTAAGCTTGTATAAGAAAGTTTGGCGAGGGTCTGAATGATCTCGACATGTCAATTGCAAAAGAGAACCTGATTTTTTCCATTTCTGCATAAACCACAGACCTAGAAAGTTATAAATGGTATGTGAGTAAAACTAGAAATATACAGTAACATATGCCAAGGTTATTAATTTTAATATATTTCATTTCAGAAGAGACATCCTCCAAATTAGCATTCTGTTGGCTAATAAATATATTTACATAATATTTTCATTTTTTTATAACAAATGTATACACATCCACATATAGGTTAACTGTGGGTTAACGGACGTTAAAATGGTTATTTCTTTCTCTATCAGTAATAAAATAGATAATGATCTATGAAGAATAAATCTGGGAAATTGATTTTGTCTTTCATTGACAAATTATAAAGAAGAAGGGGGAGATAAAACTTCAAAGTAGTAGATCTGAACACCTAAGTACTGAGACTTTACACTATAATTATAGTTAAGTTATGGCAGACTGATTATATAAGATCAACTCTGAGAACGAGGACTTGATTAATGTTTGTTAGCAATAGCTGAATATAATTTAACTTTCATATTTAACTGTATTTCTTTATATTACCAGTTACCCATATTTAAATGTATTTTCTGTGAAACTCTAATCATTCTGGAATTGGTTTTCAAGATTATGGAATATTCAATTTTACTTTTGGTGCTTCTAATATTACAGAAGGGAAGAGGAGAAATTAAGAAAAAAAACTTAATTGATTAAATCTGATCACTGAAAGCCTATTTTGGAGAAAGTTTAGTGAAGAAAGAAATACAAAGTATTGCATCTTATTTATATGGGTTCTATTTTTTTATTATTATTTATGGATTTCATTTTTCTCATGTCCTAATTTTCAATCTGAAAACATTTAGAACTAGCTATATTTTGGAAACCAGCTTTTAAATAAGACACAAAAGAAACATTTTTGTGTGTGTGTGTGTGTGTGTGTGTGTGTTTTTTGTCAATGAAAGAAGTGAAAGACAAAATCAAAACAATACTTTTAAGGCTCAATAAAAAACAAAAAAAATGAAATATAGTTTATCCTCTCAATAGAAATCAACTGACTAAATTATAAAAACAATTAAAAAAAAATCTAAGGAAAAACAAAGCCAAATAAAAAGTAAATCAAGAATGAGGGCCCTAACAGGTTTGGCTCAGTGGATAGAGCGTCGGTCTGCGGACAGAAAGGTTCCAGGTTCAATTCCAGTCAAGGGCATGTACCTTGGTTGTGGGCACATCCCCAGTAGCGGGTGTGCAGGAGGCAGCTGGTCATTGTTTCTCATTGATGTTTCTGGCTCTCTCTCTCTTCTTTCCTCTCTGTGAAAAATCAATAAACGATATTTAATAAAAAAAGAATAAAAGAATGAGGTTAGTGATGTCCTAGCTGGTTTGGCTCAATGGATAGTCAGCCTGCAAACTGAAGGGTCCCAGGTTGAATTCCGGTAAAGGGCACATGCATCGGTTGCAGGCTTGATCCCCAGTAGGGTATATGCAAGAGGCAGCTGATCAAAGATTCTCATTATTGATGTTTCTATCTCTCATTCCCTTTTCCTTTCTCTCTGAAATCAATAAAATATATATATATATATATATTTTTTTTTAAAAAGAATGAGATTAGTGAGAATATTTTTTCTAATCAAAATGGGCTCTTAACTTTCATTTTAATTTCTTTAAAAATTTTAGAATTTATTTCCTCATAATACCACTGTTAAAATCAGAGTTAACATTTTATATAAAATATTTTATAACTTATATATTAAATATAGACATTTACTGGCTATCTGTTTAACTGATAGAACAGAATAGCCTGTTTATAAGATAAACATTTACTAAAAAGATTTAGTTTAATTAAAAAAAATGCTCTAGTTCCTTTTTACAAATGTCAACTTCAATGTAATATTCATTTTCTGAAATGACTGATCAGCTTATTTCATGGGCATGACAAAACAGAAAACAGCTACATATTTTTTTTCATGAATTTTCAAGTATGTGACCAATTGGCTCTAAAATAAACACACACTATATTTGACTTTTCTTCCCATACCATATTTTTATACTGAACAATAAAACTTTTTACCTGTATTAACAAGAGTACTGCTGTTGTAGAGTGTACCGAGGTGAGGTCCAGAAAGAGACAGAAATGTATGAAGTTTGTGGAGGTAATATTTAAACCTTGGCCTTGTAAGCACTGAACGAATTATTAAATTGCCCAACGAATGTCCAATAAAGCTTTAAGAGGGAAAAAAAAACAGACATTTCTTCCATATGATATTTTTAAAAACAAATATCAAAGTGATATGACTAAACATAGATGTAAAATATTAAGAGTTAAAAATTTTCTAGTATGTTTTAAAATTATAGTTTGATACTTTGAAATGAGATAACTTACATTTTGAAGGAAAAAAAATGTTACTGTAGTAGAAAGTTCCTATTAGTAATTTAAATTGCTTACTCTATGGAAACAATATAATATACAGATAATGTTACTTATACTTTGCAATTGCTTAGAAATAAGTATAATTGCTTACACTTTATAAATAATATACACTGACTAGGTAAATTTGTCTCCCTAGGCACACACACAATTATTTTCTTAAACAATAATTGAAAACAAACTTTTCTGGACCACACTCAAAAGTAGGCAGTTCTTCTGACTACTCTCAAGGCACAGCTAAAACGTGCATTTTCCTACTATAAGTCTAAGATCATTTATAAAGTATTTCACCTTTATTAAGAAATAGTTTAAACGAAAAGAGCCTTTATAGTTTAAATGAAAAGAAACCTAGCATTATTTTACAATAGATAATATATGAATTCCTGGGGACAATAACAAAAAAAGAGCCCTGACCAGTTTGGCTCAGTGGATAGAGCGTCAGCCTGTAGACTGAAGGGTCCCAGGTTGGATTCCTGTCAAGGGCATGTACTTTGGTTGCAGGCACATTCCCCGTAGAGGGTGTGCAGGAGGCAGCTGATCAATGTTTCTCTCTCATCGATACTTCTAACTCGCTATTCCTCTCCCTTCCTCTTTGTAAAAAAATCAATAATATATATGTATGTATATATAAAGAAATGAAAGATGTTTAAACACTGGTTTATCCATATAACTAGTGAGAAGTTCAGGACAAACTTTCCTCCTGAACTGATTTTCCTAAAGCTGTGGGGTGAGAGTAACAGTCCTCAATCAACTAGATCAGGCTTTTGGATAATGGGTGATTATAACTAACAACCTAATCTGAAGAGGGAATAGTTTTGTGGATAAATGAAAAAATTAAATATTTTTCTCATAAAATAGTAAATGAATAAAAAAACATGAGGATCACTGTAGAAAATTTAGTAAGCTAGGAGTATTTTAAAATTCTATAAGTGAAGAGGATTAGAATGAGAAAATAATTTCTTCTCCCAACATACTTGTAGCTATCCCCATATCTTAACAGAAATCTGTTTTGTGTTTTTCTTTAAACTTTAAGTAGAAACTTGTTTATCTATTTCCCTAAAATGCATGTTTTAGCTGTGCCTTGAGAGTAGTCAAAGAACTTCCCACTTTTGAGTGTGGACCAGAAAATACTTTTATACTTTAGACTGGAAACTACAAATGCTTATAGTATACAGAGCCAGCTTCTTCTTCTAACTTAATGGGGATATGAAGATAATTAGTTTATTCATTTTGAAGAATGAAGGTTAGTTTTTGCTAATTCCTAATATACTAGAAGAAATAAATATTTTTCTCTCTCCCATGTATATCCTCAATATCTGATTAAATAATGAGACATATTGGTTTAATCACATCTCTTACTTGTAGAAAACTAACTTATAGTCATAAAACTTTGAAAACATTTTTATTGTTTTATGTGTTTATATATCCATTTTCCTTCTAACTTCTCTTTTTTGTAACATCTTTTTTGATATATAATTCACATACCATATAATTCATCCACTTAAAGTGTATAATTCAATATTTTTAGTGTATTCAGAGTTGTACAGCCATTACTACAAGAAATTTCATAACATTTTCACTAGAAAGAAATGCTGTACTTTTAGCTATCAACTACCTACCTGCCATTTCCCCCCCACTCTAAACAATCCCTAATCTACTTCTGTCTATAGATTTGCAAATTCTGGAAATTCATATAAACAGAATCACATAATATGTGATCTTTTAAGTTTTTCTTTTCTCTTCCAATTAATTTGAATTGTGATCTCCTATATTCAGAATAGGATGACAAAACTGTCACAAAATTTTTTTAGGTTTTCTATAATTCATAGAGATATAAAAATAGTTGTGTAATATAGAAGTTACCTTATTTTTGAAACTGTTAGACTGTATATCTGAATATATTGTATTATCTCATCCAGAAGACGATCAGTCATGCTATCAAAATCAGCGAAAGTATCATTCTAAACAAAAGTAAAATAGACACATTACATACTGAAAATGTATAATCACATGAAAAATTGAACATAAATATTTTTAATTTAGGTACTAAAATATGGTTAAGACCAGAGTTTTTTAAAGATAATTTGGTGAATGTAATATTGATTATATTAAAATAAGCAAAAAATGGTGACTTTCTAGGGAAAAAAGGTTCAATGTTCTTAATAACACTTCATTTAGTTGTTTAACTGTTTAGCCAACTACCAGCATTTATGTTATTTATAATGATTTCATTAATGGAATATTTGCATAGAAATGTAAATCTAGAAATTCTGCATTTGTGAAGAGCTAACAAATAGAACTATCAATCATTTAATTTACTGGGGATATGCATTAATGTTAAATTTTTTAGAAATTAGAAAAAACATTTCTACTACTATAGGCATTTTGTAGTAAGCAAACATTTAGGTAGAAAGTAGTACAAAATTATTTGCTTCCATTGAAAATACTGTGATATCGTACCTGATTTCTCTCAGACATAAGAAAATCAACTCTTCCCCCAGGCAGTCCAAGTTCAATATAAGTTTTTACTAATCGCAGATCTGCACTGTTTCCTAGAAAATAAAGAATTCCATCTAAAGAAGATAAAGTAAAAGGCATGACTAACTGTGCCAGTTATAGACAGATAGTGCATTGTAAAACAGAGTCCTCAATTTTTATTTCAAAGCTGACTTCCATTGGCCAGACAATGTCTTTCAACAGTTTTATCTCTTAAGTTTTGGCCACATTGATGCTTTCACTTTCTTACCTAACTGTGTCTTTAATTGTCAGCACTCACTTGGGTGACTGACTACTGGTTATAGTAGCTGTGAATGACTGACTGAAGTACTCCATACCATGACTACTCTACATGATCATTTTACAAACTTTGAATTTATTTTAGACGTAGATTTAATCTGTTGACTTTCCTTTGACGGTGCTGGCATGGACGAATGAAAATAAAAATTCATATAAATAATCTAGGATGGTTTATCTTAATTACTAACTTAAATAGAAATAGAAAATATTAATACACAAAATAGAAAATAATACATAAATATAATTAATATAATTAATAATATATTAATATAAAATCATTATTATCTTTAAAAATTAGTTTAGTAGCTTATTTAGGAATGAGCATGTCATTATCAATTGTTGAATTTTTACCCTCTCTATATAAATCTTTTAGATATTTCATGCACTGACAGAGATAACTGTTTTATTCCGAACTTTAAAAGGAACACTTCTAGTGTTTAATTACTAAGTATATGTTTCCCACTGGCTGGAAATATATTTAAATCACATTAATAAAAGCTAGTGCTATTTAAGGCTTCAAGTTTGATGCTTAGTTGTAATAACTGGGAATACTGAATTTTATCAATAGTTTCTTACTTGATTTCTGATATATTAATAAATTTCTTTATATTTACTTGTTTCTGCATTCTGGGATTAAATCCTATTTGCTAGAGGTCTTTTTGACATTCAAAAAATTAATTGCCCTAGCTGGTTTGGCTCAGTGAATAGAGAGTTGACCTGCGGACTGAAGGGTCCCGGGTTCAATTCTAGTCAAGGGTACATGCCCGGGTTGTGGGCTTAATCCCCAGTAGGGGGCATGCAGGAGGCAGCTGATCAATGATTCTCTCTCATCATTGATGTTTCTATCTCTCTCTCCCTCTCCCTTTCTGAAATCAATAAAAATATATTAAAAAATAAATAAAAAAATAAATTATTTTTTGCGTATGGGGTGTGATACCTTTTTCAGACTTGATAACAAGGTTAGGTGAATGTTAAGAAACAAAATAAACTATGTTCCATCGTGTTTTTTTTTTTTCTTTCCATTCTGCAATAATTTATATAACATAGGGAAAATTTTTTCTTCAATATCAGAAATTCTACTGGAATTAGCCTTGGGAGCATATTCATGAAAATTTTATTACTGTGGTGAAAAAGGTTAGTACTGGAGGCATTTTATTCCTAGAGAATGAGTTGTTTTTTAAAGAACTTACTATCTCAATCCACTTTAGTATTTTTATAATCTATAAAATCTTTTGTCAATTTGTTCTTATGAAATAACATTATAGCAATACCCTGATAGTCTAGAGATACTTGGCATCTTTTAATATAATTTCTAATAAAGAAAAAAAAAATCTGTTGAATAATAAAAATAGCCATCATAAAACCATGGCACTAAAGCTAGGTATTTAGAATTTAAATTAATCCCTAATTAACTAGTGAATCTTTAATTTTTTTAAACAATGTATTTTTATTGATTTCAGAGAGGAAGAAAGAGGGAGAGAAAGACAGAAACATCAATGATGAGAGAAAGCCCTCGATTGGCTGCCTCCTGACAACCCACACTGGGGATGGAGCCTGCAACCCAGGCATAAGCCTGGACCAGGAATCAAAACATGACCCTCCTTGCTCATAGGTCAACGCTCAACCACTGAGCTATATGGCTGGGCTGAATCTTTAATTTTAAGGTGTTGACTATTCTAGTCCTGTGGTACCCATGAGGTTTAAAGCATCAAGCTAAAAGGGAACTAGGAAGACAATCAAAGGGAGACAAAATAATTGCTATGATCTAATAACTGGGGAAAAAAAAATCAACAAACACAAACAGTATCTCTGTACAGTGATGCTATACAGAGAAAAATCCAGTTAAAATAAATAAATGTTGGCACATGGATGTTAGTTCCATGTAAAATTTACTTAAAAGGAAATCTAATATTATACTTAGCACAATTAAGCATATTCCTATTTTAGAATATATTTAAAATTCAATTAATTTAAGCAATTTAAAAAATCCTTTTTGCAGTTCAAAGAGTAAATAGAATGGAATGAGATTTATTAGGGAAATAAAACATAATTGAGTTGCTATGGGTTACATCAGTAGATGCTTCATACCATCTAAACCATGCACGCAGACAATGAGATGTACTCCATCTTCAGAACCACCCTCTTCTTCCGTGCTAAAGTAAGGGGCTGAGGATGCCAGCAGAGGAGCATCACTGTACATAAATCCAGGGAGTTTAAGTTGCTTCAATTCTTCTTTTGCCTGAAGGAAGCTAAAGCAAATATATTTAGTTTTAGAACCAAAAAGATAATCTGTTGAATTTATGGAAGAGAAGAGGAAGCCCAGAAATTGATTTTAAAATAATCAAAATATGTGGGATCACCTAAATGATTTAAAAATCAGAGAGTAATTTTCTTTACTATTTTTAGTATATATTGTTCAAACACAACTACTATTTTAAATCTGAAATTAAATTTAAGATATTCTTTTAAACTTGAAATTAACAAAGAAAATTAGAGGAGTGGAGTTAATGCTTTCTATAAAATTTTATATTTTATGCATAGAAAAGCTGGAAAAAGTTTTGGAAAAATGACAATCTGATACTCATCCTGTAATCAAATCTTGTCCTTTTTACTCCTTTTTACTTTTAATTTTTGTTAATCCTCACCTGAAGATATTTTCCCATTGATTTTTAGAGAGAATGGAAAAGAGAGAGAGAGACAGAGAGAGAAAACATGACTGCAGTCTAACTGGGGCCAGGGATTGAGCCTGGGATCAAGCCTGCAACTGAGGTCCCCTGACTAGGGCCAGGGATCAAGCCTGGGATGGAGCCTGCAACCCAAGGTACGTGCCTGCAACCCGGAATCAAACCCACAAACCTTCCGTCTTGGGCAGAAGAATTATCCACTGAGCCAAACTGGCTAGGGTTTCTTTAATTTTACATAAATGGAAGGGAAGGAGCTGTTGTAAAAAGTGTAACAATAAGAATGAAGTTATAGTATTAAGTAGATTAAGTTATTTTATTTCCTCTAAACATATCAATCAGAAGGAGCAAAACCAAGAGGGGGAATGTGACTAAATATAACTGGTGACATATATTCATTTGGAATGAGTGACTACTCAACTTGGATGCTGCAAACATAAAAAATTATTTTAACATTATATCATTTAGACTGATAAAAATAAACTCAAAGAAGCTGAACAGAGTAGGATACACTAGGTGAAGACCTATAGACCATGTTTTTCATTAATTACTTAGGAACAGTTGAGGTACCCAGATGGTGATATAACCTTTAGTTTTCTATCATACTATAATTCTCTAATAGGCTGTTATCACCTATCTGGTTTCACTAGCTTTAGGAACTATAGATTTTAATTATGTTTATAATCATATTAATTTGGGAATTTAAAAAATCTCCAATAGGCATGCCCAGACCTTTCACTTGAGGGATTATATCTCCATCTGGAGAAAGACAGTACAATATTTTGAAAGCCAATGCCAGGCTAGTAAACCTATATCATCTTCACATTTTTCTGGATTTTTTTTTACTGGTCAATGAAATCTCAATTCTGGAAACCCTAACTTTGCTGAGGCAATCTGGGTCTGATAGGTTTAGGAAGTCTCTACTAACCACTTATTCATTAACTAATATTGCCCTTATTTGTTAGATGCACCTAACTTTTGTCTGGGAGTTAATGGGGCAAAATAAGGTAGTAATGAAAGAAGAGTTTTAATTGCAATTATTCCATACTTCTAACAAAAAAATAACCAATGAAAAATTTATATCAGGAATGTCTAGCCTATAGAATAGGACAATCATATGGGAAATTATAGGTCTGTCAAGTTGTATGAGTTCATTATTCCATTTTAGATAGCTAATGAAAGAAACACTTTTGTATTACAGAAACCAGAGAATATGAAATATTACCAGAGAAATACATATATTTATAATATTCATATAAAACATAAAAGCTATATGTTTCTCTCACTCTATTAGGACATGTTATTATGCTCCATTACTTACGCTTGTATTTGAGGTTTTGGTGAATTTTCATACCAGGAAACTGATGAAGTGAAGTTGAAAGAAGCGCTGCTTGGCTGCTTTGTAATGGCATCAAATTTACTTTTAGAAGGATGCTTAACACTACAAGGAGACTCTCTTGGTGCAGATGGGAAGGACAAACAACCAGAAGTACAGACAGCAGGCATACTTATACCATCCCTCAGAAATTGGCTGTTTATATTTTCAGATTTTATAAGTCTTTCTTCTTCTAGTGCATCACTCTTTGTATAGTGAGCATTTACAGTTCCATCCAAAGCTGAATAATCTGTTTCTTCATAATACCCATTTTGTACCATCTGTTGATCCTGCTCTTCCTCCTCATCCTTTTTACCCTGTTCCTGCTGAAGATTACTAATTCCCTTTTCAGGAGTTTCCTTCTGAGGGCTAAGTGAATTGTTAAAGCTAATAGCACATGTGTCAGAAATATCTGTACTGCTTTGACAGCCAAAATAATTTTCCACTAGCCCTTGTTTTACCATATCAGGACTAGCTGAAAACGGGTCACTTGTACCCAGATGAGTTTCACTTATAACTGTAGGGGCTTCTGAATTTATATGTTTGAGATCTAATACATCACTATTTTTTCTTTTCACAGTTCTATCTTCACTAACTTCTATATGAGTAGAAATGGAACCTGAAACAACACAAGGGGAGCCTAAACAAACCGGTTTTGAATTTAATGTAACTGCTGTTTCTGCAGGGTTATTAGATTTATCAGGATTCTGGGAGTCTTTACACATAGTGTCCAAATTATGTTTGGAGTTGCAACTACTATTTACAACACTGGAAGTATCTTCATCTGAAAAAACAAATTGTAAAGGGTCTTTAGTGCTTGAATTTAAGAAACTTATTGCTATAGTTTCATTGTCCAAATGCCCTGAAAATATGACACTCTGCTGTTGTAAAACAATACTTGAGTTTTTACTAGCATCACATTTTGGCAAATCAATGGTTCCCAGGTTTAAAACCGTTTTGCTATCACTTAAATGGCATTCGGGCACAACAGATTTCTTAGAATTTTCATCAGGTGACAGTTCATCATCAGAAGGTAGAGAGTTTATGGATGTCAAAGATGACTGTATTTCACTTACAGCACTTGTACTCTCAGTACAATGGCTTCCTAATGAAAATTTTATATTATAATCAGGTTTCATCAAAAGCTGAGGAAATAATCTTTCATTATTGTAAGGACCTTGCCCTTGAACAATTTCGAACACTACATCCGGGTTAGGATGTGTTGCAAAAGAACTTGGTTCACTTTCAACACCTGAATCTGAAAATCTAGATGAGGCATATGTGGCATTAATATCTGGTAACTTAATTGTGTCTCCACTTACTACAACATGATATTCTTTTGTAGAAGAAGCAGGTTGATTACTTCTTAACTTAGCTAATGATTCTCCAACAGAACAGCACTTAACTTCCTGCAAAGATTCCTTTTCAAGTGTTATGTCTATAGATTTAGATTTACCATTAGATTCTAAAGACTCAAAGTTGGGTAGCTGTATATTATCCACAAGTATTTCATCTTGTTGAAGCTCTGTCCAAGGACCTATTTTAACAGTTTTTTCCTCTGCACTGAAAGGATCTTTATTACTGGGATTTACTTCAATTGTTCTAATTCCTGAAGATGGAATTGCTTGATGATCATGGCAATCGTCTGATAAACTTCTGGTTGCCACACTGAGTTCCACTTGTGTAATTTCACTATCGTCCTGGGAGATATCAAGTTTACCTGAAATGGACAAATTTGCACAAAGATTTAGGCTGCCAGAGTTCAAAGGATTAAACAGGTCTGGTTGCATATTTTCAGTATCTGAAGACTTTTTTTCAGTTTTATTTGTTGGCAAATAGCTAGCTTCCTTTTGACTTGTCTGTCTGATGTAGGTCTTTAGGTCAAAATTATATCCACATACTGTGGTATCCAGACCTTCCTTCTGACTATGTGAAGGGTTGCCTTCAAAGCATGTAAAGAGATCACTTGATGCTGTACTTTTCAAACATTTGTAGCCTACCAAAACCACAGAATCCTTAGAGTTCTGTTTTATTAATTTTTTGGTATTTTCAGGTTTCATTGTTTTCATGAGTTTAGTGACCTTAACCTTGGATTTGTTTGATTCTTCATTCTTTCCTTTTAGAGATTTTGGTAGCTGCTTTTCACCTTCTGTATAGCAAAAACTGGAGGCACCAGCAGGTCTGACTTTCACCTCTGGGCTAGAAAGTCCAGCTATAGATCTTTCTTCAGTCTCATATTTATCCATTCTAGTGGACTCTGATCTCTGAAGATTCTGAATTCCCATCCAGGGTGCATCTAAGTCTTTTATCCAAAGAAAAAAAGATTCAGGTTTAAAATAAGGTCTGAGAACTCACATGATTAAGATTATTTTTTCTAACTATAACTTCCTAGTATCCTCAAAAATAAGTAAAACTGGACGGGAAAATAAATGGACCCACATTAGGGAATGGTTTTATGTATATTGGGAAAAATATACTGAAAACGGACACGACAGCTTATATATTTTAGTTAGATTATACTTACCTTCAATAACTGAATCTAAATACCTATCTTCAAAGATTATAGGTAATGAATTGAGATCTCCATCTAATTCACTACATTCAATAGGTAGGGGTGGAAGAGAACTGCAGAAGGAAGTATTTTTGATAGCGGTGCACATCTGTAGATGACTCTGAGCACTGAAAAATATTTCTTAAGTCAGACTGTAATATTTCTTAAGTCAGACTGTAAAAAATTACACCTAATTCCACTTTACAGATTCTATACCCATTCCCCTTCCCCTCACCATTCCTATGCTCCTTCCTCAAAATGTAACCTCATTATGAAAGAGCTCCTTGTTTAGAAAAAACTGGTAAGAAGGAAATTAGTTTGTTGACAATAAATTATTAGCTTATAAAATTATGGTTTATTAAAAATTTATTAATTTCCATTATATTCTCTTATACTTTTTAATGTTATTTCAGTGACTTATCTATGCTTGATGTCTGAACTTTCTAATTTGCTGAGACTAGAATAAAGGTGAAACTCAAATGCCTACTAAGGACTTGATGGTAGGAAAAAAATGTATTCCATTTCTATTGCTATACTTAACTCATATTGATTAATAAACCCAATCACTTAGCCTCAACAATTAACATAGTACCCTTCTTGTTTTATTTATACCCCTACTCACTACCTTTCCCCACACTCTATTACTATTAATAGTTATTTTTTAGGTAAATTCACATCTATTGAAATATACAAATCTTAGCTATCTAACAAATGTATACATAATACAGATTATTTTCATCTACCCGGAGAGTATCCTCATGGTTTTTCCACTCAAGTCAACTCCCAGCTTAAGTCAATAAGACAACCACTGTTTGATTTTTTCACCTTAGTTTTGCATGTTTCAAAACTTCATATAGATAGAATATTGAATCTACTCTTTTATGTCCAACTTCTTTCTGTGCAATTTCCTCAAAATATTTTTTAAAGCCAAAGAAAGGCAACTGAAATTTACTCAGTAACAGACACAACAGAACGTAGTTACTTTTACATATTACTTATGAAAATCTGTAATATGAATAATGAATATAAGAGATTCTGACCTGTGGAAATAGAGATGCAACAGGATGGCCAAATACAAAGCTGGAGCCAGAGCTGTATGGGACTACCAAGGTTATAGTAGATCTGATTTGGGGGGGGGGGGGGGGGGGGCAGAGATAAAGTGTAACACACTTCTTTATATGGGTACTTCATAAAGTAATTCATAAGATTAAACCCAATTTGATTAAAAAGGATCTATCTGAACACCAAATAGTTCTCTTTCTTCATTTTAAATATTGTATATTCTGTCACTAAATTCTACAATAGTTATCTATGTGAAAGGAAATAAATAATTTAATTTTGGATTTAAGCTACTCACTGAAGTTCCTGGTATGCAATGACAGCTTCTCTTGGATGTTCAAAACAAAAGAATGCCTCAGAAAATCTGCGTACCTGAAAAATTCAAAAAGGAAATTTGAATAACATTGCACATTTAAAAAAATCAATCAGGCATGGGATGGTAGGGAAAGAAACCCCTTCATTAGGCCTCCCATAACCAGCCCTGTGAGACTCAATATCCCTCCTCAGTGTTGCCAAAACACTGTATTTTGTGTGACACTGTGTGAAAGAAAAGAAACAATAGAATGTAGAATGAGGAATTTAGGTTTGCATTATAGATTTGTTTTATTTGCTACTATATCTGTTTGTCTTATAAGCTATTTTAATTGCCAATATAGTCTCACAATTAGTGCCCAGTACATGGGAAAAATGAATTTCTATTATGCCACATGTCAGGCATCCAAGTGTGTGCCAGCTGAACTGACTCACTGATTTATTGGAAGTGTAACTTTGGGCATTTCACCTGAGCCTTGGATGACTCAATTTTCAAATTCTGTTTAATACTTGTTTTCTGTAAAAGATTATTTTGAAAATAGATAAAAACAAACTGCTATCAAATAGTTTTTAATCTGGAAAGTGTATGTAAATATAAACTATTATAATTGCCATTATAAGCATTCACCACATTTTTCCTTAAAATAATTGCATATGTGAAGCCCTAGCTGGTTTGGCTCAGTGGATAGTGTCGGCCTGTGGATTAAAGGGTTCAGTTTCAATTCTGGTCAAGGGCACAAGCCCGGTTTGTGGGCTTGATCCCCAGTAGGGGGTGTGCAGGAGGCAGCAGATCAATGATTCTTTCTCATCATTGATGTTTCTATCCTCTCTCCCTCTCTTCCTCTCTGAAATAAAAAATACATTAAAAAAAATAATTGCATATGTGAATTATCTCCTCTTTAATGTGTAATGTTCCTTAGAGTAGGAACTATATTTTGACTAGAGGCCTGGTGCACAAATTCATGCATGGGTGAGGTCTCTCAGGGTGGCCTGCGAGGATCAGGCCAAAACCTGCAGTCCAGTGCTGCCTGCAGCTCTTCCCTGCCACTCCCGCTCATCCCGGCCCCATTGCGCCTGATGCAAGCTCATGCCCAATCAGTTCTGACTGGGAGAGGCTCACACCGCTGCTGCAGCAGCGCTCACCAGCCATGAGCCCTATATCTGGCACCTTCCCAAGAGAAGTGGCCTGTGGGATTGGGCTGAAACGGGCTCTCTGGCATACCCCAAGGGGTCCCGGATTGCGAGAGGGCACAGGTCAGGCCAAGGGACCCCATTGGTGCACAATCAGGGCTGGAGAGGGACAGCAGGAGGGCTCCAGGGTGTGTCCAGCCCATCTCGCTCAGTCCCAATGGGCCAGACCCCAACAGCAAGCTAACCTACAGGTTGGAGCATCTGTCCCCTGGTGGTCAGTGCACATTATAGCGACTGGTCTGTGTTCTGGTCTTCAGTGCATGTCATAGTGAGTGGTTGAGTGGCCTTAGCATATCATTAGCACATTACGTTTTGATTGGTTCAACAGTCGACCGGTCACCAGACAACTGGACACTTAGCATATTAGGCTTTTATTATAGAAGATGATTGTTGTTATTCCCCCAAATATATATCTTGGTATGTTACAGAAGCAAGTACTTGGGTATTGGTTGAATCTTCCATTATATTTGTATTTTGATCCTTACATTTTTAATTATGGAAGAAAAGGCTCTGTCAGCTATTGGAGTAATATAAAGCAACAGTAAGGAAATGGAAAAATGTTTTGCTTGGCAGGTACATGAAGGAGAAATGATTTTATATCTTGAAATTATATTACATCTAAGTTTCTTTTCTAAAGGGAAACATAATTTAGGATTCTTTGGTGTTAAACATATATTGAATTGGTGACATATTTTACTTGTTATCAAGATGTGGCCAGTTGAATTTCAGACTTATTACACTTGTTTCCCTAAGCTGATGAGATTAGGTCTTCAGAGGAACAAGACAGTGAGAGAAGTAGGGAGAGGAAGATATGAGGAATCTATGAGGATGCAACTTGTGCCTTTACTTTCAAATGTCCATTTGCCTCTTTATTCTCTCTAACACTAAAGATGAGGAGAAATATCTGTCTGCTTGTCTATCTATTAGAGATGTTTCACCTGAAGGCTATAAAATATGAAGAAATGCAGCCTGAAGTCATCTGGATTCCTGTAGTTGCAGCTGGGCCTGCAAAACTAGCTAGTTGCTTTTCCTTCTCTACCTTCTCTGATTCCTACAATAACTATCATTTCTTGATAGCATTCTACCTACCAGGCTCTGGGCTAAAAAGGCACATTATTGTCTCCCTCCTCTCCCCTCCACTCCCCTCCTCCTTCTCTTTCTCTCTCTCTTGATAATCCTCACCCAAAGTTATTTTTTCCATTAATTTTTAGAGAGAAGGGAGGGAAGGAGGTAGACACACACACACACACACAGACTGGGTGCCGGGAATGGAACCTGCAACTGGAATTGAACCCATGACACTCTGGTGACAGGTTGGCACTCTAACCATTGAGAAACCCAGCCATGGCTCAATTCTTTCATTTAAACCATATAGAAACCCAATGAGTGCGGAAGTGGGCCCAAAGAGATTATGTACCCAGCAAGTGATAAAATGGGATTCAAGTACGAACTTGAGAAATTCTAAATCTTGTGCTCCAAATTGCTTACTTCGTCCCTTCTATATAAGACTTCATTACCAGAAAGTCTTTTCTCTCCTCTATGCTACCATACAAAATTTTCTTTCTAAATTTTCTCCTGTCAATATTTTCATGCTGTGGCAATGTGTAATGAAAAAGCCTATTAACTGTATTGTGTAGGCATAATTAAGGTATGACTGCCACTTGATGGGGCAAAAGACATGCATAGAAACAATGTTAAAATTATAAATTCAAACGTAGGATATCAGTAATATATTTTACTAGGGGCCCAGTACACAAATTCGTGCACCTTGAAAGGAACTGTGGGCTGCAATAGGCACAGGTGAGGGTCTTGGTCTGTCCTCCGTGCCCCAGCCTGGCCCCTACCGCCACGGCCTCCCTGCCTCCCCTACCCTCCCCCCGTCTCCTGTCTGCTGGCAGCCCTGCTCTGCTGCCGCCAGTCACACGTAGACGGCAGTGGCCCCGCTTGCACCTGCTGCTTCCCCCATTGCCCCTCAGAAGCAGGGGGCAGTGGAAAAGCCCTCGGGGGCGATGGGGGCTGGCAGCCACCCGTACATCCACTGACGGCACCAAGTGATCAGGACCGGCACTGGGTGCAAATGTTGGCTCCAGTGCTGGCAGTGAGTGTGAGTGGGGCCGGCACCAGCAGTAGGTGTGAGTGCCAGGTGGGACTGTGGTGTGTGCAAGCAAAATATTTTCAGTAACCACCAGAGGCTTGCCCCAGTGACAGTGACTGGTGTCCCACCTTGGTTTGGCGCCCCTGCTCACCTGCTCCACCATCCTGCCGCCCACCATGTTCTGCGTGTGCCCCCCGGTGGTCAGCATGTCATAGTGACTAGTTGTATGTTCTGTGGTTAGGTCTATTTGCATATTAGGGTTTGTTTTTTTTAATATATTTTATTGATTTTTTACAGAGAGGAAGAGAGAGGGATAGAGAGCTAGAAACATCGATGAGAGAGAATCATCGATCAGCTGCCTCCTGCTCACTCCCCACTGGGGATGTGCCAACAACCAATGTATTATACATGCCCTTGGCCGGAATCGAACCTGGGACCTTTCAGTCCACAGGCAGATGCTCTATCTACTGAGCCAAACCGGTTTCGGCACATATTAGGGTTTTATATATATAGATAGAAAAGGAGGCATGTCACTTGGGCAGCTTCACTGCAATTTCACAGTCCTGAGGGAACAACCAGCCCATTCTGTACAGATAACTGGGGGAAGGAGTCCAACAAAAGAGAGACAGATGCATGCCCAGTGAAGTTATGGTGACATAGGGAAGGTACTTGCCCATCAGTCAAACCTGGGGACAGAGATCATTGACCAGAGTGGTGGAGCCAATACAAGCTCATGAATATTTGGGAATATATAATCCTAGACAAAGGAATTCTCTCTCTTGGTTCTCATGTTCACTATGGTTCCACCATTGCAGACCCCACATACAATGGACTACAACTGCGAACTATGTTAGCCTGATTCTGGATTGGACTATGCCCTACCATGGAACATTTAAAACCTCTAGACACTGCCTTTGATTTTAGTCTCTGTGAAGCCATAACTATACTCCTTCCTTGGTGGGATGAAGGAAATGGGACCTTAGAAACTCAGGGGTGTAATTCCACAGAAATAAAGCTTCTACAATATTTCATCCTCCCATGTGTATCTCAGGAAATTCTTTTTCTTGGGGATACCCAAGGAGCCCACTCCCATTAGCAACAGATAGGGAGAAGGACCTCTCCTCAGAGATAACAGAACTGCTAGGTTATAAGGCAGTTCCATTTTTAATTTTCTAAGATAACTCCATAATTGCTTTCCACAGTGGCTGCATCAATCTGCATTCCCACCAACAGTGCACGAGGATTCCCTTTTCTTTACATCTTTTCCAACACTTGTCTGTATACTTATTAATGAAAGCAATTCTGACAAGTGTGAGGTGATATCTCACTGTGATTTCAATTTGCATTTCTCTGGTGATTAGTGCCATTGAGCATCTTTTCATATGTCTATTGGCAATCTGTATGTCTGTTCTCTTTGAAGAAGTGTCTATTCAGGTCCTTTGCCATTTTTAAATGGGATTATTTTCTTGCTGTTGAGTTGTAGAATACTTTATAAAATTTGGAAATTAATCCCTTATCAGATTTATCATTGGTGAATATGTTATCCCATTCAGTGGATTATCTTTTCATTTTGTTAATGCTTTCCTTTGCTCTGCAAAAGCTTTTCAGTTTGATGTAGTCCCATTTGTTTATTTTTTTTTTTTTTATGTTTTCCTTGCCTAAGGAGATATATTGGAAAAGAACATTGCTATGTGAAATGTCTGAGATTTTATTGCCTATGTTTTCTTTTAGGATATTTATGATTCCAATGACTTACATTTAAGTCTTTAATCCA